GCCCAGGGGATGGGCACCATGATATTGGCTCAGAGAAGGTCCCAGTGCTGGCCCTGTCAGAGGTGTGACTTGCTTCTTCTAGGAAGACACTGAGAGAAGCATGACTTGTTGCTCCTCAGTAGCTCTACAGGTCCGGTGGACATAGCTTGGCTGCATACAGCAAGTTGCTGTTGCCTTGATTCTGACTCATTTTGACCCCCTGGGCATCAGACACTGTGTTCTCAGTGGCCAATTCTTCACAATGGTCTCATTCAATATTTAGCCGTTCGTGTTTGCCCCATTTCACACAGCATAATGGTTTCCATTCTTACTGGTCCCGTGGAGGTGTTTCACAAGCTCGTCATTCTTTTCTTAACACTGTGCCTGCACCATAGCTTATGTATACACTCTTTCACCCATAGACGTGTAGAGTGAGGGTTTCTGAGGAATCGCCAGCCCTCTTTCCACGGTGGCCTGTCCTGTTTTACCGTCCCAGCAGCCGCGCCTGGCTAACGATCACGAGCATTTCTTCACATCGTTGTTGGCTGCCTTGACTGGCTTCATTGGCGAGTCAGCTTCTGTAAACATGACAGCCTCCGAATCGGTGCGGGGCAGCTCTGCTCTGAGCTGGCATAACTGGGTGCCAGCAGGCGTGGGGTTACTCCCGTTGTGTGTTTTCCCTGCGGGCCGTGATTCTTCAGCTCTTTGGTTTTCTAGGAAAGTCTTTGTAACAGGAGGAAAGGCCTGAAAGGGCGCCCGGTACTCAGATGGTTTCTCATCGACTTCATGACTACGTAAAAGCCTGGGGATAGTTGAAGGCTTTAGGAGAAAAGAAAGGAGGAAGAGAACATGCTGGATCTTCTTCTCTGCCGGGGCCAGCAGGTAGTGATGTTCTGATTCCTTCTCCGTCTTGACATGTACTCCGGTCAAATTCCAAAAAGGTCCACTTGATTTATTCTTGGCTTGATTGAGAACATTAGCTCAAAGAGACTGCTTTATGATTTTATGTTGTTTGGCACATTACCTGCCACAGGGTTGCAGAAGTGTGAGGCTGCAGAATTAAGTTCAAGTTACACAAAAACAAACGCACTGCCGTCGAGTCGTTCCGACTCATCGCAACCCTTTAAGGGAGGGCAGAACTGCCCCGGTGAGGTTCCGAGACTGTAAATGTTAAGGGAGTAGACAGCCTCCTTTTTCCTCCAGCTGGTGGTTTTGAACTGTTGACACTGTGGGTTAGCAGCCCAATGTGGAACCACTATGCCACCAGAGCCCCTCGCAGAATTCAATTAAGTAGGTTAAAAATAGTTACCTATTTTTAAACTAAAATTTCAAACTAAATGATGGTCTGATGTTCAAGCCATTCAATACCCATTTCCCCAGGTTTTCCTGCATGCCCTGGCTGTGCTAGTGGGAGGTGGCAGGAAAATAGCACGTTTCGGTATAAAGTGTTAGCCTTGGATACTTAGTGGATTCTGGGGGCAACACTTATTTTGGAAGTGGGGAAGAGATCAAGTAACACTGTCTAGTGGACATGACCCTGAAAATTGCATTTTCAAGGCTGCAGGAGTTTGCCAGGAAAGGTTGTGTAATTGTATTTATCAATATGATTCCCAAGAATGTATTAAACATTTTAACAGTTGGGAGGAAGGAAAAGAAGTAGTAAATATG